CCGCTGAGCAGGGAGCCCGATGCGGGGCTCAATCCCAGGACCCTGGGATCATGACCTGAGCCGAAGGCAGACGCTTAATGACTGAGCCACTTAGGCTCCCGCAGAGATAGTTTAGAGAGGTCCTGGGTATGTATCCTTCACCTGGTTCCCCCCATGAGTGCATCCTATGTAACTACAGCACAATATCAAAACCAGGAAATTCTCATTGTAGGATGTGTGTGTATAGTTCCATGCCATTTTATGTTTCTTACCAACTCTTTTACATACCTGGGCTTCCGTAATAGCCTCCAGCCCTGTCCCTTCCATCCTGTTCCTCAGGAAAATCCATGGCTCCATTGTGCTATGTGTGGGCCTCTGTTGCAGATCATCATGAGTGATCTGAAATGTCACCTAAGCTACTTTAGTCCTCAACAAGTATTTATTGAGCACTGTATGTATGTCCAGGCACTGTTCTGGGCCATTGGGATGCAGCGGTAAATGAAAGAGAAGTCCCTGCTCTTACGTAGCTTATGATCTAGTAGTGCAGGAGACAGATAATAAATGTAAACATCCATGTCAGGTGGTGGTAAGAGAAGGCAGGGGAAGGGATTGGAAGATGACTGGAGCCTTTGTCAGACAGTGGCCAGACAAGTCCTGGAAGAGTTGCCATTTGAGTAGAAACTTAAGTGAAGGAAGGAGCTGTGCAACAATCTGGGGGGAAAACGACTCAGAGAAAGGAATAGCATCCACAAAGGTCCTGGGGCAGGTGTGAGGAATAAGGAAGCCAGTGTGGCTAGAGCGCAGGGAGCTGGGGAGAGGGTGGGAGACGAGATGAAAGGGGTGGCAGGGAGCCAATGGTTTTTGTAGCCTTTGTAGGGCAGTCAGGCCCTTGATTTTTCCCCCCTAAAATACACATAACATAAAATTTACCATTTTAAGTGTACGCTTCAGTGGCATTCAGCACATTGACATTCTTGTGTAACCGTCACCACCATCCATCTCCAGAACTTTTTTTTCTTCCCAAACTGAAACTCCATAGCCATTAAACATTAACTTGGGGCGCCTGGGTGGCTCAGTCGGTTAAGCGTCTGCCTTCGGCTCGGGTCATGATCCCAGGGTCCTGGGATCAAGTCCTGCATCGGGCTCCCTGCTCAGTGGGAAGTCTGCTTCTCCCTCTCCCTCTGCTGTTCCCCTGCTTGTGCTCTCTCTCTCTGACAAATAAATAAAATCTTAAAATAAATAAACATTAACTCCCCATCCCTGCTTCCCCCCAAGCTCTTGGCAGCCATAGCCCTTGACTTTTTATTTTGAGTGAGATGGGAAGGCTTTGGAGGGTTTTCAATGAAGGAGTCATGGGACGCCCATGGATGGGATTTATTCTATCTCATTTTACCTCCACAATCCTCTGAAGATAGTAATACAGCACCTTTTGTATGCCAAGGCACTCTTCTAAGTACTTTTCAAATAAACCTTATTTGGTCCTCATAGAGCCAGTGACTGGTGAAGTCAGGCTATCTAACTTAACCATGGGGCTTCACTTCCTCTCTGCAGAGGAAGTATTTTTAGATAGCACAAAGAGAGTAAGTAAGATGCTCGGCCACACACAGTTGGGAGTGTGCGGCAGAGCTGGAGTTCAAATCCAGGTCTGTGTGCCCCTGCTGCTCTCCTACACCCTTACCCGCTAATGTTTGTTCTTCATGGCCAGTGCCCACTCATGGGCCATGTCATTAAATAGTACTTTTGAAAAATTTAAGACCTTTTTACTTTGGAATAATTTCATACTTGATAAGTTGCCAAAGTACTGCAAAAACAATCTTACGTATTCTTCACCTAGATTTTCTGAATGTTAACATTTTACCATGTTTATGCCCTCATCCATTCTCTGTAAACATACACACGGGGTCTAGGTGTGTTTGTGAACCGTTTGAGAGTAGGTTGTAGACATGAGGTCTCTTTATCCCTGAAACTTCAGTATGTCAGTGACTGTTTCCTGTGTATAGGACATTTCTTACATAGCCACAGTACAGTGATGAAAGTCAGGAACTTAACATGGATAGGCTACTCTATAGACCTGATTCAAATATTTTCCATTTGTCCCCATAGGGGGGAAAAAAAAATCCATTGCAAGATCCAACCTGGGATCATGAGTCCCATTTACTTGTCCTGTCTTTTTAGTCTTTGTTTTTTTTCTGGAATACTTCCTCAGTCTTTGTCTCTGACATCGAAATTTTTGAGGTGTATGGTCCAGCCATTTTGTAGAATGTCCCTCAGTTGGGGTTTGTCGGCTGTTGCCTCATGAGTAGATTCAGGTTATGCATTTTTGATGGGACTCTGTAGAAGCCATGCTGTAGCCTCTGTATCACCTCATGAGGTACAGGATCCCCATTTTGAGTGTCTTCCTTGCTGCCATGAGTTCCTGAAGTCCCCTAGCCTACCTTGATTTTCTCCACCTCTCCTGATAACCTCCTCCCCTGCCCACCCTCAATCTCTTTGTAGCTTCTTTGGTTTCTATGACGCAAATGAGACGGTCTTGGAGATGGAGGAGCAACCGGTGAGCCCCCTGGGATTACTTCCCCTTTCTTCATGCACTGCCCCACCTCCGTCTGTAGCCCTCCCTGCCGCCAACCCTTGAGAGCGGAAGGGTTCACCCTGTGGGGAGGGGACCTGGGACACCAGCAGGAACTCATTTTGTTTCTCTGTCTGTCTGTCTCCTGTGACCCTTTGCCCACCCTGAAGGTTTATCTGCGGGATTCTTTTGGGTTGAAGACTCTCTTGGCCCGGGGAGCCATTGTGAGGTGTCCGATGGCTGGGATCTCCCACACGGCCTGGCACTCCAACCGTACTCTTTATGAGGCCTGCATTGAACCCTGGCTCTCCTGAGGATGTCCTCAGGGATCCCCCAGGAACTCCCCAGCCCAGAGACCAAGCGGTGGCCTTGGAAAGCAGATGTCAGGCTCCGGTGTGCCTGTGACCACCCCATTGCTCCCACACTGCCCGCGCCCACTGGGGCTCCCAGGACCCCTTCCTCTTCTCCTCTGTGAATGACGAATCCTGGTCTCCCGCACTTCATGTCTGGGGTTTGCTCCGTGCTCTCTCTCACCCTCCCAAGGCCGAGGCTGGGAAGAGAGAAACCAGGTTTTGAACTTGTGGCTACTCTGCTGCTCCTCGGTCTCGGGCTGTACCGGAGGAGAACCCGGCCCCTGCCCGCTGCGGGGGTCTCCTTCCAGGCCACTCAGGTCATTTTTAGCTTCTCTTCTCCCCATGTTCCCTTTTCCTCAGCCCTCCCAACTCCCAGGAAGGACTACCCATGAGAGTGGGGTTCTGAGGCTCCCCTATGGGGACAGTTCCGTTCTTGAAATGTCAGTGTTGGGGATTATCTATGGCCTGTGAGGCCCATCTCAGGTTTGGGGATCCCCCCAGTCCCTATGTTCAGTGTTGGGGTACCCCCTGGGAGCCTAGCTTCTTTGAGGCCCCAGCCCCTCTTTTAGCTACCATTGAATGGGTGTTAACCCTGTATTAATGGAAATAAAGTTCCATTTCCTCAGTGTGGCTTGGCTCATTTCCAGGTGAGGGGGACCTGGCTCCCCAAGGAGGGTGGGGATGGAGAGCCTGAGGTCTGGGTGCCCGGATGCCTGGTCTGGGGTGGGACCCCCTTGGTGTTTCCGCTCTCTAAATGCCCATTCTGTGTGGGTTCCTGATTCTCTGTGGGTTCTTTCCTGCAGAGGACAATTCTCTTCCTGTCCTAGCCTAAGCTTGGGGGGCTGAGCCCAGGGCTCCAGTGGTTTGTGCCCCAGCCTCATGGGTGGAATGCGCCTGCCACCCCCAGGCTAGACGAGGGGGCTAAGGGTCAGGGTGGGCATTCGTTGTACCCCTTTTCGACCTTTGTAGGCCACAGTTGGGTGAGGGGCTGGACAATGAGCCTCCTCTTCCTTGAAAGAAGGAATTTTGGTGGAGACAATAGGGCCCTGTCTACTCTCGCATGGGGGGTGGTGGCTGACTCAACTCTGCCCCCCACCCCAGGCCCTAACAAATGTCATCAAGAAACGGGGAAATTTCCCCATGGTGCCCTGGGCTGTCCCCCTGCCCCCCTTGGCCTTTGGTGACGACTTGCCCTCCTTTCTTTCTTCAGCTGATCTTGCCTCTTCTCCCATCACCTGACCCTGCTTTTCTCTGCCAGTTCTGTCTCCCTGCCCCCCACTTCTCCCCCAGTCTGTGTTGGGTTGAAGGGTGTGGCAAGGGCCAGGGGTACCAGTGGTGTTACAGAGCCAGTAGCTTCTGCTGATTTGGGGAGTCCAGAAATAAGGGGCCTCAGAGGGTTGGAAATTTACTTCTAGGGGGCCCTTCGCTGGGGGGGTGGTGAGGGTAGTGGGACTTGGACCCCACTGAGCGGATCAAGCAGGAACTATGAAGGCTCGTGGGAGGGGGCGAGAATGGGAGGATTCTGTCTGGCCCAGCCCCTCCTCGCCTTCCCAGCCTGCCCAACCCGCCCACCAGTCTGAGCTGCTGCTGCTGAGGCTGGTCAGCTTGAAGTCTCCCGGAGAGAGGGAAAGACAGGTGGGGAGACCGTGTCAGTGGGGGATGAGCCTTAGAATGAGTGTGAGTTGTGTCGGTGTTGGAGGTAGTAGGGATGTATTTAAGGTGCATTTTCTAGGTGCATGGTTTTGGGTGCGAGGGGGTGTAATGGTGAATATCTGAGGCTTCGAAGATAGCAAAATTAAGACAGAAGAGGGCATGTTACAGATAGGAGGGTCCTGGGGGAGAGTTAACTGTGTTGTGCAGAGGGGAGGTGGAGGGAGTGTGTTGGGGTGTGCCCTTGCGTGATGCTGTGGGGACCGTGTGCGCTGAACGAAGGGGTCACGTTAAATGTACATGCAGGTGTAGACGATGCTGGTGGCTAGTGCAAGTGTGTACAAATGAACGTGCTGACTCCCTTAGAGGGCACTAGCCGACTGCTCTTGGAGGGGCTGGAGCTGGAGAGCTTACAGGAGAGGGGAAGGGCCTCCATTAACCTCTTCTTGCCTGCAGCCTGCAGAGTTTGGAGTCAAGGAGAATCATGGGGTCCAGGGATGAGCTGTACACTCTCTTAGGCGGACTCTCGTTCCTCCTGCTACTGATGTCAGTCCAGGGGGCCAAGGGTGGATCCCTTAAAGAGAGGTGATGACAGAGGGGGTGGGGGCAGGTATGAGGTCTTCAGGAAACCAGCTGGGGGTGGGACTTCAACAGGTGGCAAAACCGTGAAGTTTAGAATGGGGGTGGGGCTGTCACCCCCAGGGAGGGTGGGGCCTCAGTGGAGCCTTGAGGGGAGGGGGATTCCTGGCCCCCAGGGCCCGGCCCACTCAGTGTCTGTCTCTCACCTTCTCCGGCCTGGGTGCAGTCAGGGGGTCTGCTCCAAGCAGATGCTGGTGGTCCCCCTCCACTACAACGAGTCCTACAGCCAACCAGTGTATAAGCCCTACCTGACTGTGTGCAATGGAAGGCGCATCTGCAGCACCTACAGGTGAGGGTTAGGGAGCCTGGACTCTGCAAGTCTTTCAAGAACTTCAAGAACCCAGACCAAAGCCCATAAACCAACGTTCAGAGCCAGGCCTGTGTTCTAGGACCACATACCGAGTGGCGTGGAGGGAGGTGAGGAGGGAGGTGCAGCAGACCCACGTTGTGTGCTGCCAGGGCTGGAAGAAGCGGCATCCGGGGGCGCTCACCTGTGATGAAGGTGAGACTGGGTCTTCCCAGGCCTGGGGATGGGGCGCTCTGCAGAGCTGGGGAGGCTGGCTGTTGGTCCTGTTTTGAACCGCCCTCCTGCACCCACAGCCATCTGCGCCAAGCCCTGTCTGAACCGAGGCGTCTGCGTCAGGCCAGAGCAGTGCGAGTGCGCCCCGGGCTGGGGTGGGAAGCACTGTCATGTGGGTGAGTGGCCCCCCCGCCCCCGTCCCCACCTCCAGCATCGCCAGGACCTCACCACCCTCGGGGAACCAGCTTGCCCCCACCCTTTAGCCCTCTCCTCTTTCCCTTAACTAGACGTGGATGAATGTAGGACTGGTGTCACCCTCTGCTCGCACCATTGCATCAACACGGCAGGCAGCTTCACCTGCCGCTGTCCCCAAGGTCTGGTGTTGGGCCCAGATGGGCGCACCTGCGCAGAGGGCACCCTGGAGCCCCCAACTGGTGCCAGCGTCCTCAGCGTGGCGGGTGAGTGGGAGTACAGGTGGCGGCGAGGGCCTGGGCTTGACTAGGCAGTGAGTGACACTCTCTTTTGTCTCAGTTCGGGAAGCAGAACATGATGAGCGCGTCTTGAGGCAGGAGATCCGGGAGCTGCGAGCGCGCCTAGAGCGGCTGGAGCACGTGAGTGGAGATGGGGGCCAAGCCCTCCCGGCAGGGTGTGTCCCACCCCAACACTCCTGAGGTGTCTCTTCCTTTGTAGTGGGCTGGTCAGGCCGGGGCCTGGGTCCGAGCTGTGCTGCCCATGCCACCGGAAGAGCTACAGCCGGAAAAGGTGGCAGAGCTATGGGGCCGCAGTGACAGGATCGAGTCTCTCAGCGACCAGGTGCTGCTGCTGGAGGAGAGGCTAGGTGCCTGTGAGTGAGTCCTCCTGCCCCTCTCTGCTTGAACCCTCATCGCCCAATAGCTGCCCCCAGCTCTCCGAGACACCTTTCCCTAGATCGCTTTTCTCTTTTCCCCAAGCCCTTCCCCAACACTTCAGTCTTCCCATACTGTCCCTAGATATCCACACTTCACCCATTCTTCTGGTGCCCTGTCCCCAGTCCACTTATTGTTGGGTGAGAGTCTCTCCAGTGCCCTGGTAGCCCCAGAAGTCTACAGCCAATGTGTCTGCTTGCTTCCTTGTCATTCACCAGGCTCCTGTGAGGACAACAGCCTGGGCCCAGGCCTCAATCGGCCAAAAAGGAACCTCTCCAGAGCTCCGGTCCCCTAATTTATACAGAAACTGGCCCCGCTAATCCTTTGGGATCGGCCAGGTGGGGAAGTGCAGATAAGGTTATCTGCCACTAAGGAGCAATGAGTGATGGAAACTTCTAAGAGCTGAAGGAAGGGGGGGAAGATGGGTGCCTTAGGCCCACCCGAGTCTTCTGGCTGGGGCAGGTTGCCTGGGCGAGAACTGCTTTAATGCCTTCACAAATGCAGCCAGAAAGTGCCCAGATCTCTCTCTCTCTCAGTCTTTATTCTCGGTTTCTTGCTGTTATTCAGATAATTAATAAAAACCAACCACGCAAAACTGGGTCCCGCTGTCTCCTTTCGCTCCCAGCCCACCTCCCCAGTTTGTGGGCACAGGTCTGGGGTGGGAGGCAGGAGTGGTTAATGCCATAGGGAGGAAATGAAAACTGGCTCAGAGAGGGGAAGCCTCAAAAGAAAGAGAAATAAATTAAAAGCCCTCCCATCCTGTCCAGCCAGGGTTCAGTTCCTTTCCCCAATTCCCCAGGGAGCAGAAGTGATGCAGCACCTGATGTCTGCCTCTTCCCTTGTGTGTGGTTAGAATGGTACAGCAAGGGCTGCAGGGGGCTGGATTGGGGCCAGGACCACTGAAGAACCGTACCACAGGGACAGGGGGAAGCAGAAATGTGGAGACCAAACTGGCATCTAGGAGTATGCTCACCCCTGGGCACCTGGGTATGGGCAGGATGAGACAGACCTCTGAGTGAGAAGAGTCCAGCCTCCACTGACAGGCTCCATGGGAGGGAGTGTGAGGGTGCTGAAGAGTGTTCCCAGGATAAGCCAGGAATGTTTCGGGCATTGCTTCCAGCTACAGTGTGAGGAGTCCTCACAAATGGATAAGTCCACTGAATCCATGGACTTGTGGGAGGGTATTGTTCCACAGAATGGATGAGTCCACTGGCCAATGTGGGGTGGAGAGGGAGAGATCACAAAGGAAGAGGGTCCACTGGGGAAAGGATGGCGTGTTCCCACCCTCGTGTAGGTGAGCCACTGGAGATGAGGGGGGAGGCAACCGTCCCACAGACAACATGGCACAGGAGGTGGGTGGGGGTCAGAGTGGAGACTGCACCGAGGCAAGAGAGTCCCTGGGGGAGAGCTGGGAGGGGGCAAGGAGCGGTGCTGTATCCACATTCACTTCAGAAGTTGAAGATTCCCAAGAGGAGAACAGTGGGGAGAGGAGAAACAAGGGAGAGGGTCAGGGCGCACTGGGCGGGTAGGTGTGGGAGGAAGGTGGGGGTAGATGGGAGGGGAGTTCAGAGCCGGGCCTCGCCCACCCCTCCAGACTTCTTCAGATAGTCACCACCGCCCCGGCCATCAGTGGAGATTTCCCGGAAAACGGTGAGCATGGAGTGTCGGACTCTGTCAGCCAGAGCTGGGACGTCATCTGGTGTCAGCCCTTCTGTGGGTACCGGGGGCAGCACCCGTACCTGACATCGCCCTGGGAGGGGGTGAGCACCATCATGGCCTGTCTACTTGGACCTTTGCCCGCAGGTGGGGCACAGTTTCTGAGTTCTCCTGCTCCTCCCTCCCCAACCTTTCACAGTTCTCTTCTCCCTACCCTGGACAACTGGCCCTGTGCTTGCCAGCTGCCACCTGGTCCGAGGCCCTCCTGCATAAAGCCTTCCCCACGCGCCCAGTCCAGACACCTCCTCCGCACCCTTTCAGCCTCCATCGTCTCAGCTTAGCCTTTACTGCCAAGTGTTACTACAGCCTTGTGCACACAGGCCTTATCTCTCCCACTGGACAGTAATGGCCCCTCCTGGAGGGACCGAGCGTTACCCGTGTAGCAGGGTATGGTGGGTGCTTAATAAATATTTATTGGTTGATGTGCGGTCACACTGGATGATCCTTTGGACATCTCAGTTCTGACACCGACCCATCCTCCTCCCTGGTGGGGCCAATCCCTCTAACCTCTCTCATCCATGGCCTTTCTGGCCACCCCCAGCCCCAGGTCTACTCAGAGCCCTCACCGGAAGTGAAGCGGCGCTCCTTCTTGCAATAGAAGTCTTGATAGGAGGACATGACTATGGGGACAATGGGAACCTGGGGAAAGGGAAAAGCAAACAGCCCACAGTTCCCTTCCAAGGCCCTATGACAAGCCTCTGCCAAGAAAGAAAGGGATGGTGGAAGCTGGGGGGCTCAGGATTAGAAGGGGAAGTAGTCGTTACCTGGGCTTGTACTGCAAGGTGGAAGGCGCCACGTTTGAAGGGCAGCATGGAGCCATTGTGGTTTCTCGTGCCCTCAGGAAAAACCCAGACCCGCACCTGGGGAACCACACACAGAGGGGTCAGAGTATGGTTGTGACGCTGTAATGGGACCTCTGAGGCCCGCTGGCCCTGCATCTCAGTTTATTTACAACTGCTCTACTCCACAATGCCCTGACCCTCCTTTTCCACAGGGTGACTCACGTCCTGGGTGAGCAGGGTCTGGGCGACTTCAGACATGACACTGATGGCATCCCCTGTGCGCTTCCTGTCGATGAAGATGACTCCTGCCAGCCAGCACGCTAGCCCAGCAGAGCCGGCCCACAGCAGCTCACGCTTGGCAATGGGCACACAGCGGCCTGGCAGTACCTCCATCATCCCTAGGGCAAAGGTGGGGTGGGTGAAGGGTGAAGGCCAAAGGAGGCAGTGTCAGGGTAAGCGGGGCATTGGCCACACTACTAAGGACTGGAGATAAAGGAAGAGGGAGACTGAGGGGAGGAAGAGGTGATTAAACATATATTAGCCCGCCTATGCGGGTGAGAAGGCCTGGGGGGCGGGAAGGGGAGAAGGGAGCCCGGGGGCAAAGTTCAGATGAGGGGGAGGTGAGGACCCCTAGAGGAGGAGTTTCTGGGGAAGGGGGAAGGGCATGGCGGGGGGGGGGGGGCGGGGGGGGAGGTGTGCCCTACAAGGGATCTCACCAAGCAGGTCCAGTGAGCTCTGGTGGTTGGAGACCACAACGTAGGGCTGGGAGGGAGGGAAGTGGTGAGCCCCGCGCACCTCCACTCGGATCCCATATAGGTATTTGATGTGCAGCAGCATCAAGCGCAAGATCCTGTGGGGTCATGGCAAGGGGTTCCAGCAGGACCCACCGCAGTCCGTCGGCAGGCCTCCGTTCCCCCATCCCGCTGTCTTTCCAGGCATCTTTGCAGTCTTCTGGCCTTCCTTGCCCCTGGGCTTTCTCTGCTTTCCCTACACACCCCACATCCTCCCCATCCACTGCTCACTTCTGACTCGGAGGTTCTCTCATCACCCAACGCCCCCCCCCGTCCCCCCCCCGCCGGCCCTCACTTCATGTTCTCGACGTTTCGCCCTCGCACGGCGCACACGGGGATGGCGAGCACAGCCAGGAAGAGGATCCAGCCGTTGTAGAAGGCCATCTTGAAGAAGTATTTGGCACTGGGGCTGCAGAACCACAGGGCGGGCAGCAGGAGGGGCAGCAGCAGGAGGAGGAGCAGCGGCGCGGTCCACACCCCCGGCCACAGCTCCATTCTGGCCGCCTGCAGGGGACAGGGCAAGGGACAGTGGGCCTGGCTCCTGGAGGCGGGGGGAGAGGGGTGGGCAGGGCACAGAAGCTATGCGGACAAGGGCCAGAGACACAGGGTGGGGTCAGGGCTCCCAGCAAAACCTGCCCAGGAAGCCTCTCCGGGATGGGGGTGCGGGGGGCTGGGAGCTCAGGACTGCTCTCCCACCCCTCTCCTGGAAGGCTCCAGAAACATTCACAAAGACAAGAGACATGAGACGCGGCCATCCACAACTCAGACACACGATAAGAGGACAGTAGTAACCGCAATAGCGAACACTTGAAGCTGGTAAGGTCTTAGGACTGACTGTCTAGTGCGGTAGCCACCAGCCACATATGGCTACTGAGCACTTGAAATGTGGCCTAGTTTGAACTGAGATGTGCTGGAAGTGTAAGATACACATTAGATTTCAAAGACTTTGAATAAAAAAAAATGTAAAATAGCCCACTAATAATCTTTTGTATTGATTACATTTTGAAATCTTAACCTTTCAGAATACTGGCTTCGATAGAACATATTAAAATTAAATTCACCTTGTTACTTTTTACCTTTTTTGATGTATCTACCAGAAAATTAAAAATTACAGGTGGCTTGCATTATATTTCTGTTGGGTTAGGGCTGATCTATAGACTATGTTAAACCCTTAAATACGAACCACACAATTTACATTTTATAGGAGATAGGCCCAGAGAGGTTAAATAACTTACCTGAGGTGACACGGCTCCTAAGAAGCACTTCCTCGTTTAAACCTAAGCAGCTTGTATTCCTAACCACAGTTACGCTGCTCCCGTATATATACACATAGGTGTACACACAGCAGATACAGTTAAGGGACAGAACACCCACAGACATTCTCAAGAGCACACTGGCTAGAATAAAGGCTCTGTCACTAACGCAAACACAAACCCACACAGTCATACAAAGACTGACCCGCTCACACCAGAAGGCAAACTTAAAATCTCGCCCAGTAACAGATGAAGGAATGTGTAGTAAATGCATAACCAGAAAAACCCTTCTCCCCCAAGGTAGCCACCCCCACCCCCCTTCCCATTCCCAGATAAACCCACGGACATACCAGGAGTAGCTACCATCTATCAATCCTGCCTCCACAGGCAGGCAAACAAATCCTTCTGCCCCCTTCCCCCCCTCCAGGGATACTGCAGGCTACCTGGTCAGGCAGACACAATACGTAAGGCCTGACCAAGTGAAAAAAAAAAAAAGAGGGCAGAGAGTAAAAGAGACATCACACCACCTGCCCTGGGAGAGGAAAGAGTTCAGGAGGAAGAGGTGCAGGCAGGCACACAGAACCTGCCTTCTAGGTTCTTCCTCCTTCCTCCACTCTGCCCCACTGTTGGCGGCAGGGTCAGAAGTCACAAAATGGTGTTCAGGCAATACCTGTCACTCCCAGCAAGGCTACAGGCACTCCCTTCCAATGACAGGAAGGTCCGTGTTCAAAGGTAAGTCCGTTGCCGATCAGTAAAGGTTAATAAATAGGCACTAGAGAAACAGTCGTCCACATGGCAACCACAGAGATCTTTCTGTGACACAAATCTGAGCATTTCCCCGTCTTGTCTACAGGCCCTTTAGACAAGTTGACTTCTGCTTCCATCTTCGGCCACACCCCCACAAAAGCCTTTTTTGCACCAACTCCAGTTCCTCAGACACACCACAATCTTTCATGCTTCTGTGCTGTGAACAGGCTGGAATGCCCTTCTGCCTCATTTGCCTCACACAGCTCAGCCTCACGCTTTGGAAGCTTTCTTGAACCCCACCTGGCCTGAGTTTTCATTACACTTTTATCTTGATCACTGGTTCTCAAAGTGTAGAGATGCATATTCTTGGACCTCACCCCAGATCTCCTGAATCAGAAATTCTGGGCCTTGGGCCCAACAATCTGTATTTTAACAAGCCCTCCAAGTGAGTCTGGTGTGCACACAAGTCTGAGAACCACTGATTTTGACACCACAGTGTATGTAACTGCTCACTGGCATTTCTGTTCCTTCCCCAGTCTGTAAGTGGCTTGAGGGTAGGAACTCCCAATACCCAGGATAGAAGGAGGCAGAGAGGGGGCTCAATAAACATCTGTGGAACAGATTATAAGGCTGAACACATAACCACACAGCCATAATTAATGACAGAGATGATCAGGAATCAAATAGCTACACTCTTGAGGACTATTAACTGTGAAAAGATAAGTCACCAGAAAACAATGAACATAAGAAGCCTAACAGTAACCTACTCTGAATATGCACATACAATATCCGGTCACATTGAAGGGAAAGCACCAACAATCAAGATAGCGCATCCCATCTCACACAGAGGAGAAACATACAGAATGGGGATTAACATGCCACAGGGGAGAGATGCTGCTGTCATCAAATACATGCCAACAGTGCAAAAAGAGTGGGGAACAGATAATGTGCACAGCAGGGCTGACCCTGTGGCATTCACTGAGCTCCATGCAGACAGGCTGTCCATAGTCACTGGAAAGAGAAAGTATGTGAAGAGACACAGGCCAGGCCAGGAAGGTCAGCAAGGTAAGGCATATGGGGATGGTTCTCTGGGGACATGAAGGCCCCGTCACCTTTTTCTCTAATACACGACATTAAGTGACCCTCTCCGGAGCAGAAATGTCCAAGGATTGGTAATTAGTACCACGGAGTGCCAAATGGGTTAATGTGAATATGACTCACAAAAATATACTGCCAATAAAATTATGAAATAAATAGTATGTGTAACCAGAAGCACAGATGCTGTGGACATGTCACATCAGCGTAAATATGATAAATATGTAAAGGAGCACAGCACACATAGGTGTGGTGTGAAGCCTGACTGGGAAAACACATGCAGCACACAGGTCAACCTGATCACAACAGGAGTGTGCACTACTCAACTAAACCACAGGATCTCACACACGAAGACTTACTGCATATGACAGGATTGTGGACATAATATATGATATATGAACCAAAACCAGTAAGGGATAATCTTTACATGCAAAAGTAAACATGCAAAAGCATAAAATGTGCAAGAAACATGAAACCACATAATGGATGCAATATATAAAAACTCACACATTTGAACAATGTAAAGACTGGACATGAGACATGGACGTAAGATAGGAGAATGGGCAATTCTGATGGAAAATAACACATCATTTCTCCACAACCCATGGATAGCATAGGGAGAAGCTAGCCGCACATAAGCCATTAAACATGTCAAAGGCACACAGACTCAATGTAGAAAACATGGCCCCCCACAAAGCATCTGTGTGTCAGTAAGGATCTAGCCCAGTGTGGATGGCCACTGAGAAAGGTCCTGTGCCTAGATGGAAACAGAGGTGTCTGAGGGGATTCCTAGGAAGCAAATTCTGCTGGGGGAAGGAGGGCAATAAACCGCCTTCTCCCGGCCACAACCCCCTAAAAGTCACGTGGGGCCAAAGGGCAGGAAAAGGAATTGGGGACGGTGTCAGGAATTCCCTCTTCAGGACTCTGTCCACACCCCCATCCCAAATTCACAGGGTCTCCGGGTCTCTCCTCCCTCTGTGTCTCTTCCATCCTTCCTCCCGCTCAGGGCCCCTCTCCTTTCCCCAGCAACCCTCTCCCCAGTCCACCTCCCAGACCCAATCTCTCCCCCATCCCCTCCTCCAAGTCCCTCTCAGCACCCTCCTCCCACTTCCTCCCATCCCTTTCCCGCCCCCACCTCAATGGGGTGGGGGGCCCGGGGGGCTGGCCCCCTCCCCAGCCAGGCTGCGGCAGCGGTGGTGGCGGGTGGCTGGGTCTCTGCCTCGGTCGGGGTGTCGGTGCCAAGGGGGCGACAGGATTTGGGGGTGTCCTAGCCCCGGCCGATGGAGGGGAGGTGAGGGTGGGAGGCTGGGCCCATTGCGGTAGGAATGGTGGGGGGGTTGTCCCCCCAGCTCCCTCCCTCCCTCCCTTCCTGCTGTCTCTCTGAGGGCTGGGGCTGCTGTTGCCGCTATCCCCCCCCACCCCTCCCCAACGCCTGCTGGTTTCCGGGGCTGGCCAGGAAGTAGGGGGCGTTGACGGGCGGCCCGTTTTGCCAATCGCCTCCCAGAAACGCAGGCATCTCCTCCCCGCAGCGACCAGTCTCCTCTTGGTAGCTCCGCCCCGCGAGAGCTCCGCTGGGCTCTGCCTGGCTCTCTGGCCTTCTCTGGCTCCAGCTGCGTCTTTTTTTCCTCCAACTCCCTTTCAGTACACATGGCTTGTGTATCCCTTGGTGCTGTATTCCTTCCTTGGCCCATTCCTTCTTCATCAGCTCTCCTCTTCCCGGAAATTTCACTTGGTTTCTTCCATTCTCCTTAACTCCCTTACCTGCTGTTTATTCCCTCCCAACTCTTCTCCAAATACCTCTTTCCTGTCCCCCATTCAATTCCAGATATTTTCAAGCACCTACTATATGCCAGGCACTGAGTTCTCCACCTGTCGTCTTCTTTCCAGGGCTCCATCTCCCTGACCCTCCAGCTCTCGCTGGTTCTCTATGACTTTTGCCCTCCCCCTCTCCCGTAGTCCAGCTCCCTCCTTCAACCCCCTCAGGTCTTTAAAGTGAAGGGATACTCTCAGACCGTCTCCCTGCCCCTGTCCTCCCACGCTCTTTATTTAACCTCAGTACTTTTGCTTTTCTAGTTCCTTCCCATCGGTCTTCTTAGTCATTAAAGCTGAGAGGTCCCTCTCCCCAACACAGAATCTGAGCGCATCTTTTCCAATAGAAACTGGGCATTAGGTTGCTTTAAAAAAAAAATTAAAAAACGCTAGGTTACTCTGGGATGCGCATGCCTCGTTAATTCTGTAGTCCTGTATCTCTTCCCTCTCCAGTCCCTGATCTCTTCCCCATACTTCCATTATCCCTCTACCGGGATCATTCCGTCACTCCTCTCCTTGGTTTCCACCTCTTCCTCAATAACTTCTCCTAAACCTGTACAGGGATCCTGTACCTTCACCTCCCGCTCCCTCCTCTAGGCAACTCCCAACCTCTCACCTTTCCTCACTTGAGTCACGTGGGACCTTTTATCTGGGTGTTGAACTGCCCTCAGCCTCTGTCTGTCCCCGCTGCCAGACACACCTCCGCCCTGCTTGAGTTTACACGCCCTGAAGTAGAGGATGTAAAGAACACTGGTAGTGGGAGGACTGTTACCTAGCTCTGCTCCTTGGGCCACAGTGAGGATCACTGACTGTAGAAAAGGCCCAAACTCGTACAAAAAAACCCAAGCTCTGGCTTGCCCAAGTCCCAGGGGTCCAGCCCAGGAGGAAGACCCCAGTACTGCGGGACACACTACAGGACGGAAGGGGCGGGCCTGACCCCATTCCACCGCGCGTCGCCCAAAAAGGGGCGGGCCTTAGCCCCCTCGGCACCTACTCACAAAGGGGTGGAACTAGGTCTTTTCTGCTTTTAAGGTTTAAAACGGAGTCGAGATCAACTCTGTCATACTGTGTCACGTTAAAAAGGTGCGAGCCTTTAGTTCTGTTCTGCAAATCACCTAAGGAGGAGCGGGCTGAGTTCTCCAGCCGAGGGAGATGGGTTAACACCAGCGCCGCAGATCGATGCTCGCACCATCCAAACGTCGAGCTGATCCCAGTTCTGATCCCTTCTTCACCAAAAGGGAGGGGCGAACCCAAGTTCTGCTCTCTACGTCACCCAAGGAGGCCGGAGCCATTTTGAACCCTGCGACCCTAGTATTTGCTCTCTTGCCGAGCTCTTCGCCGTCTTTTCCGATCTCGGCCAATCAGGGGTGAAAGAAACTGCCCAATCAGCCTAGAGAGACCACAGCCGGAGAACCCGGATGAGGCCGAGCCAAGGCCTTTGAACTCCAAACCCCGCCAATCGTAGAGCAGTCACCATGGCGACAAGACAGAGGTGAAGGGGTGGGACCAGAGAAAGCTTAACCCTCACAGGATTGGCCTACCCCTTCCCGCCGCCTGCTGCGCACGCGCATTTTACCTAACCACCATTTTTCCATCGAGTTCCGGCCAATCAAGTGCTTTGGAGCCCTACGCTCCAAAGTCCAATAGGAATCCGGACATTCTCTGAAAGGGGAAGTGAAGGAAAGAAAGGGGCTTGTAGTAGGCGAGGCCTGATGTAGTCCCGAACCAATTGCTTCTGGCCTTTGGTTATGACTGGCAGCTAATCAGACGAATAAATCTCTCCCTGGTCGGGCGACGGGACATATCGAATTGTTACTAATCCCATCGCATTGCATACTGACTGAGACTGTATCAGCCAATAGTCATTGTGCAAGGGCCGGACTGCGCAAACCTTACCCCTACCCTCTGGACCAATCATTTCTTTTGAACTGTGTGATTGTCAGTCACTCAGGCCAATAATGCTTAGAAAACCTTGAAGCCCGCCCAACGATCGCGGGCTGGAGGCGGTTTCTCGTTGTTGGGGCGTGTGTGTGTGTGTGTGTGTGTGTGTGTGTGTGTGTGTGTGTGTTTGGGGGGATTAAGGGGTACGTGAAGGCGAAATAGAACCGGCCATGGCAGCAGCAGAGGAGGAGGACGGGGGCCCCGAAGGGCCAAACCGCGAGCGGGGCGGGGCGGGCGCGACCTTCGAATGTAATATATGTTTGGAGACTGCTCGGGAAGCTGTGGTCAGTGTGTGTGGCCACCTGTACTGGTGAGAATCCGGGAGGGGGAGAAAAGAAGTTGGGCTCACCTCCTTACTGCGGGGGCTGGGGGCGGACTGGCATGCAATCATATAGATAATCGGAGGGCACATCCCCATCGCAATCGGAGGGCACATCCCCATCGCTGAGGCCCGAGGAGGGGACTTAGGTCTCTTTGGGTATGTGTGGGCGAGAGGATCATGTCTGTACAGAGGAGACCTGTGGGACGGAGAGTCATAGGAACGAGGAGCTGAGGGGTATGGTGTGTTAAGAGGAAGTGGGGCGGGGCGGGAGCACAGCACATCTGTACAGGTGAGACCCGAGCCACCTTACCCCAGAAAGTGAGGGGTCTTAGCTGTACAGGTGTTAACAGATTAGACTCAAAGGTTAGGGGAGGCACGCCTTATTAGTTGAGTAGGGGAGACCTAGGGAACCTGGGATCACAATCAGATGAGATATTGGTAGGGAGTGGTATGACAAACCTGAGGACAAGGGCACTGAAGGGGCAACCCAGAGAAGTTAAAGGATGGTGGAAATAGGGACTTTATTGAGCGAAGAAGAGAGGAAAAGGAGTAGTGGGGGCAGGTGCTAGTAAAGGGGGTTTGGTTTGGGACTGATAGGGGCAAGGGTGGGGCTTGGGCTGGAAGAGGAGATCTGGAAAGCTCTGGTTGAAGAAACCTGAAAACTTAAGTCGAAAGGCAGAGAAGGGAGGGGATGGGTGTGTGAGTGTGTGTGTGTGCGCGTGCGCGTGTCTGTTGGGGGAGAGAAGAGGGTTGAGCATGTTGGGGATAGATACCGCTTTACATGTTGTAAGATCAGAGAAGAGGGAAGGCCAAATTGGCTGGCTTGGTAGAGGTTGTCAAAACTATGAAAAGAAACAGTAGGTAATACCTGGGAAGAGGGGGTGAGGTCGGACTCTGTGAGGTCGGGTCCGTGTCTGTCTTTTCTGTAGCTAGTTTGACCTTCTTTTTTTCCCTCCATCCAGTTGGCCCTGTCTTCATCAGGTGCGTACTCAGAGGAGATGAAGAGGGAAATGGGGAGGTCTGAGGAGTTGAAAGACCCTGCTGTGAACTGGCAGCCACTTCATTTTCTCCCTCAGTGGCTGGAGACGCGACCAGAGCGGCAAGAGTGCCCAGTGTGTAAAGCTGGGATCAGCAGAGAAAAAGTGGTCCCTCTTTATGGGCGAGGGAGCCAGAAGCCCCAGGACCCCAGGTGAGAGAGAGGGGGTGGTGCTGACGGAAGATGGAGGGCTTCTGCCCCGGGAGTGGGGCGTGGAAGGGGAGAGGACGTTCTTGTGGCTAGCCCCTCTCCTATTCTTCAGATTGAAAACTCCACCCCGCCCCCAGGGCCAGCGACCAGCTCCAGAGAGCAGAGGGGTGAGTCTTGTCCGATTGTGTTCCTTCCTTGTCAAAGACCCTGCCCAGTTCTCCTCTGACTTTCTCCACCTCCCTAGGGATTCCAGTCATTTGGCGATACCGGGGGCTTTCACTTCTCATTTGGTGTTGGTGCTTTTCCCTTTGGCTTTTTCACCACCGTCTTCAACACCCATGAGCCGTTCCGTCGGGGTACAGGTAAGAGCCTTCCCTCAGCTCAGGCCCCTCCCCAACCCAGGAGTGGATGCTTCTTCCACAGCTTTCCTCTCTCCTACAGGTGTGGATCTGGGACAGGGTCACCCGGCCTCCAGCTGGCAGGACTCCCTCTTCCTGTTTCTCGCCATCTTCTTCTTTTTCTGGCTGCTCAGTATTTGATCTTTGTCTCCCTCCTGCCCACCTCCAGCCAGAGGAGAATCAGTATTGGGGGTCCTTGCTGACCCTTCCTTACTCCTGGCCCCTCCTCCCCAGCTCCTCCATTTCTATCGGCTAAGGCCAACCCTGGCCACTTTCTAGGAGGGTGTGGGGAGGAGTGACATCTGTGCAGAGAATAGGAGAACCTTCTGCTCTGAACTCACTGAGTAGCGTCGTAACTCCCAACTCTGGGACAGGAGGACAGACAAAAGAGAATGACTGTTTCTTCTCTCTCCTGATCCTTTGCTTTCCCCCACATTTATTGATTTGGTGTTGAAAGATGGGCAAGGCTCCCTCTGACTCTCCCCTACTTTCCCCCTGTTAATTTAACTTAATTTCTCTCTCCCCATTGTCTAATATGGGTTCTGACTCTTAAGTGCTTTCTTCCCCTCACTACCTCCTTTATTATAAATTCAATAAACAAGGTGAGATATATTGATGGGAGCTCTGCCCACCTTTGTCCTTACCTCCTTCCTTCCAGGACAGGAGCATCTTCTCCCCAACTTGAGTAAATATCTGTGTGGTGTGGGGAGGTGTGAGGGTGAGCCCCTCTTCTTCAAGGCTCTCAAGGATTCAGGGGGTGAGGGTGTCTCTCTCACACACACACACACACACACACGTGCACAAGAGCAAACGGGCGAGGTGTTTACTTATCACTATGGGAGGCTCTGGTTGTGGAAGCAAGTTTGGTGAGGTGGGGTACAGGTTATACAGGGGAGAACTGCTCTGGGGCCAGAATGGAGCAGGGGGAAGAGAAAAGGGGGCTGATAGATGGGGTCTAGCTGTGTGTCCCTCAAGGCCGTGCTGCACTGCTCTCAGCTGCTTCTGGCTCCTCTGGCTGATTCAGCTCTGCGCGCTCCTCCTCCTCCTTATTTTCTGGGGCCTTCCTGGGGAGGGGGATTGGGGAGAATTCTGCACATGGTTTCTAGCACTCCATCATTCCTCCCGCACACCCCTCCTTGCTGCCTGGAGGTCCCAAGCCTGAGGGGTTTGGCTTTCTTCACTCACTTCTCTCTTCGACGTCGCTGTCTTCGCCACTTGATGGCCCCAATGAGCAGGGCGGCTATCCCCAGGCCTCCCAGGATCCCCAGGACCAGGGCTACAGTTCCCAGTTCCTGCCCTTCCACAGAGCCTGTAGAGAGATGGGGAGAAGTGAGGGCCCCCACCTCTCACCATTACTTTCTTGTTGACCATCCATCCCCCAGTCACGTTGGGGCCATCTGCTTCCAACCCCTCACCTGCGATCGGCCCCTCCTCTGCTTCTGAAAGACAAAGTCAGAGCAAGTTAGAAGGGAAGGTCTCAGTTTGAGAGAAGGCTATTCAGTGGGAGCCCTGATGGAGTCTTTCCCTTTTTTTCAGTTCAGAGAAGAGAGGGGACAGGCTGGGCTGCTCTCTTGGGAGGGTTTGGGTGGGGCAGAGGAGGCCTGGATGGGGTGCACTGGGGAGGGGTGGGGTGGTTCTTGGGGACAGGGCCAGGATGGGCTAGGGAACTGAAGTCTACACTGTCCCTTAACCCAGCCCCAGGATCCCTGGGGTTTGGAGAGAGGTCTCCTCACCGACGACGACACGGACAGCAGGGCTTTCCTGGGGCCCATGGCTGGGATGGGTGGTGATGCAGCTATAGGTTCCCTGGTCCTCACGCTGCACCTCATGCAGGAGCAGCACAGGGCTGGGGGGAAGGTGCAGGGGCATGCCCTGGGGGGAGCAGGGGGACAGGAGACTAGTACAACATCTCCACACATCCCATACTCCTGTCTTTGTCTTCGCATCCTCAGATATTCAGTCGTCTTTCCCAGCTCCTTGCCTGCCTCTCCATGGGCCTCCTGTCCTAGTTGCCAGTGATGTGTCTGTCTACTTCCCAGCCCCCTCTCCAAGTCACTCACATCCTTGATCCAGTGGATTTGAAGGGAGGACTGGGTAGGGGTTTCACAGGTCAGGGTCACGGTACCACCGAGAACTACTTTCCCACCTTCTGGCTGTACCATCACTTGGACCTCCGGAGGCACAGGCTCTGGGGCAGAGGGCATGAAGTTGAGAGTTATACCTGTGTGTGGTCCCAGTGGCCATGGGCTTAACTCTTCCCTCTCTGAGGGCCTCCACTCACCCCAGACTCTGAGCTGGATGGGGGCCGTGTGTAGGGCTCGATGCCGGGGAAGTCCAGGGCTGAAGCTACAGGAGAAGGTGGGGTGGGGAGCTCCTCCCCAGGCTGGGGTCACCATCAACTCCGACTGGAGTGTGAAAAGCCCTGTCTCAGGGTGTCTCCTGGTCTCTTCTTGCACAGACACTCCTATGGCGGGGAGGACAAGGCAAGATATCCTGGGGTGGGTGTGGGAGAGGGATCAGAAAGAAAGCAGCTGGGAGGGGGGACTTTGGGACTTACCTTTGCCATCAGGTATGAGGGGTTTCCCGTCTGAGTGCCAATTAAGAGTCCCTGCAGGATAGCCCCCCTCGGACACACATGTCCCCACCTGGGGAAAGAGTGACCTTCATCATCTTTGAATATAAGAGACTACACACACATACACATATACACACACACACACACACACACAGCTTACACCCCCTTCCTCTTCTTAGGACTGCTTTCTACTGCCCCCCTTTTCTTCCACTACCTTACTGGGGACACCAGCCATGAGTTCAGAAGCAGGATCGACAATTTCTGGCTTCCCCGGAATCTCTGAAGGAGGGAAAATTTCAGTCAGAGGCTGCAGCTTTGAAGACTCTCACGCATGGGTATGGGATCTGGGGCAGCTGAAGTCACGGGTTCTCACACACCAGGGCCAAGGAGTCAAGGGCTGGGGTTGAAGGATTTTCCTTAGATGAGAGGTGGGCCATGGAGAAGGCCCTGGAACTCTTACGGTAGACTCGGACTTGGTAGGCAGACCTCGTCTCCTTTCCATTCCTGCTCGTTGCCCGGCACTGGAAAGTCCCTTCATCCTGGATCCCTACTGCCGGCAGGAGGAGGGAGCCATTGGGGAGCACTCGAGCTACGCTATCCCAGGAGCCTCCCTGGGGAGACAGGACCTTCCAAGCTTCTGTCCGACCTGTGTTCTGGGGACAGAGGAGAGGGGCCTGAACAGTGCAAGTCCTTTGGGAAAGGACTCATGAGACGGGGAGGTGGGGAAGCGAATCATTCCTGGTCTCTGGGATTGGGGAGGCTGTGGCAGGAGCCCTGCTTACCAGTTTCCATTCCAGCTGTTGGGGTGGTTTCTTGGGGGCCCCCCTACAGTTCAGCACCAGTGGCTTCCCAATCCGGGCTGTGATGTTTCGGTCGCCTACTGCTGCCCCTGGGAGACAGTACAATGGTGGAGGGGTAGGAGGGAAAGGCGGGGGGCTAAGAAAACTAGGACAAGATGGGGGAGGGAGCTTGAAAAGCAGTGCCTGGGTTCCAGGAAAGTTCTGGGCAGATTTGGGGAGGGGGATGAATTGCTTTCTGTGGGGAGGATTGGTGTGTTGGGGGGGGGAGTGGCTCACCCCAGAGACTGAGGACCAGCACCCAGGCTCCCGCTGCTGCCCCTGCTGCCATCCTGCTTCCTTCCCAGGCTCCTGGCTCTGTCTGCCCGGCACTGCTGTGGCCACCGCCCTAGCCCTAGGTGGGGCTTGCACCCTCTCCCCTACCCCCATCTTCCCATCCTCTCCCGCCACAGGGAATGCTAGGAATTCATGCTTCTTGGACAAGAGTCCTTCAGGTACGAGGAAAAGCAATTATCACCCCACCCTTAGGCACTGCCAGTCTCTGGGCACAGCCACATCCTTGGGGGCGGGGAGTGGACCTCCTAGGATCTGTCATTACTCAGGACCCCCAACTCATTCCATCAGTTCACTGAGGGCTTGCCTGGTGGATGACTGGAGCCTCATATTGCTTAGATCAGGTTGGGCAACAGGGTCCAGGCCTGGCTGTTGTCCTTGGGGAGGGTTTCGGATGAACCCTGGAACCTGGGTGGTGAGGGCAAGGCTGGGCGGAGTCGGGGGAAACATCTGTTTGGGGCTTTATGAGAGATTTTATTCTGGGGTTTCTTATGTTTTTGAAAATAATGCTCCACTAAACCCAGGGAAAAAAGAAATTTCTTTATTTAAAACTGAGTGTTTTTTTTTTTTTTTTTCTTTTCTGTGAAACTACAAGTTTACAAGTGAGGAGAGAACTGCCCCCGGCCCGTGCCTCCCACCCACCACCCATCACACATCTAATCTGCTCCCCTCCAGTCCTGTCTGGACCTTTTGACAGGAGAGGTTTCCCCACTATGACAGTCGTATAAAATCCTGAGGATGTTTGAGGGGCTCAGATGGTGGGGTTCTGGCCAAGGATGGGACATTGGTGATTTTACTTTCCCCCATACCTGGCTTTTTGCAACCTCCCTCCTCTCTCTCCCCACCCTCTTGATTTTGGACTGAGAAAAAAAAAATGCCTCATTTCTGGGGAAACTGAGGGAGATTCATATACAAGCACCCCAACCCACATTTAACATATTTGGCAATAACCCCTTTCCCATTCTTCCTCCTCCAATCTGCAAATAGTAGTTTAAAAAGAAGATTTAAAGACATGTCACTCACAGGGGAAGGTGGCACTTCCTCAAAACTACTGAGTCCAGCCCTGCCCAAGGGTTGCGTGCGTGCGTGCGTTTGTGTGTGTGTGTGTGTAGGGTGAGGGGGATACGTCAGCAGAGCAAGCCCCTGACTACCTCCACACCAAACACAGCAGAGAGGACCCTGCATAAGCAAAGAGCACATAAGTGATTTCGGGGGGAGGGGGCAGGCTTGGTGCCCTGCTAAACACACTTTCTGATGGACAGGACTGGAGTCAGGTGGGCCTCTTTACAAGTTTGTTCCCCTTTCTCTTATGACCCCTTTGGCTATCACCCCTAACATGGGAAGGCAAGAAATTAAAAAAAAATCAATATATTTATAAAAACATCTACTTCCCCAAACTAAAAATTAAGAACCGATAACAGCAACAAAAAATTTATAAAGTACAAATGGATCCCAGGGTTTCGTTTCTTTCCTTTAAAAAAAAAAACAAACAAAAAACAGTCAACCCCAAAGCCCAGTCAACAATTCCCTAAAGTAGCAGAAACTCCCTCCGAGGTAGATATCTGAGTCAGACACTCTCGTCCACCGAGCGATTCTATTGGTTTAAGATGAGCTGCGTATGAGGTAATAAAGCCATCTGGAGGGGCAGGGGGTGGGGAGGCACAGGGTTCATGGCCCATGTCCTCTGTCCAGAAGTTGTGTCCCCAGTTTTGGCATCTCTGGTCAGGCAGGGCTGGCTTCTCCACAGATTCCAGAGCAGATAAGTGGGGTGGGGAGGGGCAGTGGGGGAGCCCAGAGAAAGAGACAGAAACGGAATATAGTATGGCAGGTACAACAAAGGGAAAGCGATCTGAACAACAGGATTCTGGGTGTGTGGTTTGTGTGTGAGAGAGAGGGAGGAAAAAAAGACTGAAAAGAAAAGGGGAGAGAGACCCCACTCTCCCCTTAGGGGCCCCCATTCTCCCTGCCACGTAGTCAGCACCCCCAGCGCTGGAGAGTCTGGTCAGGGAAGGGATGACCCCATTGGCCCTTCTCTGTCTTGTGCTTCTCCTGTGTCTGGGGTTTGTCCTCTGGATGCCTGTGTCCTCTTCAAGAGTTGCCTTGTGGGCCCCCACCCCTGTGGCCCTGAGGGGCAAGATCAGTTGGAAGTGTCAGAGTGAACGCTCCCTGGTCCCTCTGTGGGAGAGGTCACTGAGGACGGGGTGACTGCCTCCTGCCAGCCACCATTTGCCTGGAAAAAGAGAGAGTCGGTTGGGGCAGGGCAGTCCAGTGTGGGAGACAGCGCTGCCAGGGGAAAGGCCATCCTGTCCAGGTGAGAGGTGGACAAAGGGAGCATCGGGTGTCCACTCACCCTCATTTCCCGAGGGCTGTACATCTGGCCTCCCCCAAGGTTATCCCCGTAGCCCCCTGGCCCCATTGAGTGTCGGAGTGATTCCACCTGCAGGCAGCAAAGAAGAGCATGGCACAGTGAGGAGCCTCGTACCCTGAAGAGAAGGAAACCGAGTTTGGGAAAGCCCTACTTGAGGGGAGGTGGACCACCTGACCTGGGAAGCAGAGTAGGAATCTCCGTTGAGCCCGGGCATCCCCAGAAACATGTCTCCGGATCCTGAGAGATTGAAAGAGCCGCCAGAGCCTTGGGGGAGCAGAGAGGGGAATTAGGGAAGAGTCTAACAGAGCCTGTTATGGCAGACAGGAAACACCACAGTTCTCTGTTTCCAAAAAGCCCTCTGAACTAGTCCGGGAGTGTGCCACTGTACGCAACTTATCCCTAAGACATTGCAACACTCACAGGAGCAGGCCGTGTCTGGGCCTCCCCCTTCCTCCCTGGCCACTTGCTGGAAGACAGGCAGAAGTAACTTCACTGGGGTGCCCTTTGTCCCCTGACAGCTCTACCCCATCTCAGCTGGGTCCCTCTCACCCCAAAAGGCCCACTCTCTGCTGTGATCCTGCCTAGATAGGAAGTGTGAACAAAGGCAGGAAGTGTGCAAGACAGCCAGCCAGGATGGCAGCGGGGGTCCACCTGCAGAGGAAGGGGGTGTCGGGGAGCTGGTGCGGCTGTGGCCTCCCTGGGTGACTGACACGGCGGTCTTGACGGCATAGATGTTTGCCTCCTCTTGGAACTTTCCAATATTTTTCTTATAGCGAATCCGCTTGTTGCCAAACCAGTTGGAGACCTGTGGGGTGTGGAGCAGAAAGGAGGGTCGGGTGCAGACCTCTCTTCCTGTAAGCCCCTCAGTCAGTACAATCAGAGAGCTTTTAACCTGAAAACTACTCCCCCACCCCGAGCCTCCCCAATACCTGAGAGACAGTGATTCCACACTTCTTGGCAAGCTCCTCCTTAGCCTCCTCACTAGGATATGGATTACTCAGGTGGGAGTAGAAATACTCGTTGAGGACCTCAGTAGCCTGTTTGCTGAAGTTGCGGCGTTTTCGTCTGCAGAGGAGGGAGACTGGTGGTGAAGAGGCCGGCTGTCCTGGCAGGGCCTCCATCTCGCACCACTCTAGAGGGTGCCACTGCCACGGAGTACCATGTTGTGTAACGTGGTGGCCCAGAGGCTTGGAGAAGAGTGGGAAGGAGCCCCACCTCGCATCCAAGAAGCGGGAACGCAGGATCATGACAGCCTCACAGGTGCTCTGCTTGAGCTGCATCTGGATGGCGCTGAACTTCCGATGGATGATGCTCACCATGCGCTCCATCTCCTTGGGTGCCACAGGCCGAGTGCGGCTCTGCTCCCTCAGCAGGTTCATGACGTGGGTCGTGAACTCGTTACATGCCTGCAGCGGGGGCCAGTGGGCTGTGAGGAGGGGCCCTCTGGCCTTGGGATGCCCCGCAAGAGCCTCTCCTCTCACCCACTCCAGCCTGGTCTCCTCACCTGCTCATACTTCTCTAGCTCTGAGTGGTAGATGTGGCGGATCTGGGCAAGTTTGCTGCGATAGTCGGAGTGTTCGATGGAGTTGTCAGGGGACACGCCGCCCCCGGAGGCTGCAGCGGCTGCAGCTGCTGCCGCTGAGCCCCCCCCCTTCTCAGGCCCAGCCACACCCTCTGCCAGAAGCATGTTGTCCAGGCGCATCAGCTGTGGGTCCACCGGCTCCTCCTCTTGGGAGCTTCGAATGCTGAGGCCTAGCATGCAGGCGAGTGAACTTAGGGACCCAGGGAACCCACAGCCAGCACTCAGCCCTCCTGTTGTCTCCTGGAGACCCAAGTTTCCAGGCTTCAGTTCCCTCCCCAATTCCCCTTAGCAACTTCCCTAACCCCTACTGTCCTCAGGGCCCCAAGATGTCAAACTCTTGGCCTGAGTCCTACAAAGAACAGGGTTCAGTCCCCAGAGGTGAGGAATCAGTGGGGGACCCACATACCGGTTTTCTCCTTGATTTCACACAGGACACTAAAGAGAGCAGGCTTCATGCGGTGGCAGTTGAGGGCGTGTTTCCTAGGGAGGAAGGGGAAAGAACAGTTGAGGAGCTACAGGAACAGAGGCAGGGCAGGGTGGTGGTGGGGGGGACCATGAGGGTGAGGGGGAGCCTGGGAACAAGAACGGAGGTAGAAAGTGGGGGTGGGGACAGGACGGAGTTGTGGGGGGATTCTTGGGGAGAGATCAGCTCCTGGAATGTGGAGATGTGGTGAAGCTGCTTGGCTTTAGGAAGATGGAGGGAAGGTGCAGGCAGCGAGATAAAGGCACCGTGGGCGTGCACAGGGCTGTGGGAAATGGGCCTGGGGGGGACAGAAGGGGAATTTGGGGGTGACTGCAGACATGAGGGTGACTAGGTAGACTTCAGAGGAAAAGAGATGGAGATTGTGAGAAGAGTCAGAGTTTGAGGTGCCAGAGAGGGGGCGGGGGAGTTCAATACAGAGATGTATGGAGGGTCCTGGGACTGAGCAAGGCGGGAGGCTCTGAAACTCCTAGTGTCTGGCTGAGCAGGGGCCAAGGGCTGGGTGAGGACCCTTGGAGGCTGGGCCCCGGTGGAGAGGAGTGGTAGGAGCTTTGGGGAGGGCTGAGGGCTGGAGAGGATGGGGGTGGGCTGGGTGGAGAGTTAAGAAGACAGCATAGCAGTTTCTTAGTCTGAGAGCCAGAACCAGGCTCTGGAGGTGGAAGGATGTTCCAGGGGAGTATGGGGGGGGGTGTCAGTGAAAGGTGGGGGGGGGCGGTGAGACCACCCTGGGCTCCCCTCTTTGAAGGTTTCAGGGTCTGGTGGAGAAGGGAGGTTTGAGAGGGATGGCTTATCTTGGGGCTCCCAGGAGTAAGGAGAGAAGAGAGCTGTAGGATCCTGGAGAGGGTCCTGGAGAGGGGGGTGGGGGTGGGGACTCCCAGAAAATTCAGAGCTTGTGAATGGGGCTTCAGCTAGGTCTGTGTAGGGTCCCGGGGTGGGGGCACTCACTTGGCCTGGGCCTCGTCCAGGCTCTGGTCGGTGATGGTCATTATCTGCTGCAGAATGTCCCCGATGTCTTGCTTCCCTCGGCCTCCCGGGACCCCCCCGCTACCCCCACCGGGGTCTCCGCCGCCGGGAGGCTCGCCAGGGCCCCCAGGCTCCCCACCCACCAATCCCAGGCCCCCCCGGCCCCCGCCTGGAGGGGGCGGCCCCAGCAGCCGCTCGTCCATAGTTGGGGGGGGGCCCTGAGGCCCCCTCCCTGCTCCGCCCCTCCCCCCGCCTGGTTACTTCCCCCCCAAACTCGGTGGGGCCGCTGGTCCCTCCGCCCCAACCCCCACCCGTTTTCCCCCTCCCGACTCCCCCGGAGGTTCACCCTGGCCCTGAAGGGAGACCTGGGGTACCGGCTGGGCCCCCCACAGGAGACCCCGGCCCCCGGCGGCGGAGAAAATGGAGCCGGAGAGAGAGAGGAGGCCCAAGCGGGGGTGTGTGTGAGAGAGAGAGGGAGGAGGGAGGAGGGAGAAGGGGGGGGAGCGAGGAGGGAGGCTGGGGGAGGGGAGCCGGGGAGGAAGAGGAGGGGAGAAGAGAGGAGGAACAGGGAGGAGCTGGGGGCGGAGAGAGACACAGCAACAGAGGAACTGGGACCGAGTGGAGGAGGGGAGAGGGAAGAGGGGACGAGGGGAGGAGACTAGACCTTCGGGGAAAATACGCGAAGGCCCCGGGGCTGCGTGTCGTCGGCCTGGGAAGCGGGGCCTTGTTGGGGCTAGGGGGCCGCCAGCTGGGTTCCGAATTAGGGATCTAGGTGTTGTGGGCTCTGGCCGCTAGAATGCCTGGGTTCACAGACAGCTCAGTTCATATTTCTTGTCCTAATGACTCCCCTCCCTGTTCTACTTAATTAAAACCAGGAGAGGGGGGCTGGGGGGTATAATTAGGGAGGTCTCCAGCCGTTGCTTAATGAGCCAGTAATTAACCAGCCAGGGAGGGGAGCTGGCCTCTCGCCAGACTAGGGAGAGAGGCGGCCTCTGGCCTCACCTTCCTCCCTCCTTCCTTCGCTCCCCGCCCCCCCCCCGCAGCCCCAAACACCAGTCTTCTTCAGTTCGGAGGAGAATTACATTTATTCATACAACCAAAACATCAGACTCAGGGCAACAGTGGGGAGGCGGGGGTGGGGGGGATAGGGGTGGGGGGTGGGCAGTGCTAAGTGTCCATTCACAGCCTGTAGGCCCCTCAGTCCTGGGGCTGGGGGTGCTGGTGGTGGGGTGGGGGAATAATCTGTCTCTTTGCAATGCCCTCTCTCCCTTATTACTGAGAAGGAGGGTGGAACTGTCTGTAAGGCCCTAACCTTGGGAGATTTGCTTTTTCTTGGGAGATGGAGGCCTGAGCCCTCAGATTCTGCCTAGTGGCTAGACTACTGGGGGTGTCTCCACAGCTCAGGACTTAAACTGCCACTACTTGGGATCAGAGGAGGGGGTGGGGTGTCCCTCAGTGGCTGGGATCCTTTCACTGCTTCAAGCTCCGACATACTCGGGGAGGGAGTTAAATGACCATCCTACTTTGGCTATGCCCAGGGTTTGAGGACTTTCACCACCTCCATTCCCAGGAAAGGTGGATGAGGGTGATGAATATTGAGATTTCTCCTGGGTCCTCCAGTCTCTGGTGCCCCTGCCAAGCAGGAGTTGAGGGCATGCCGTGGGCTGCCCAGCTTTGAGCCCCGGGAGTGTGGAGTGGCTGGTAGGCGCGGGCTCAAGTCTCAGCAGGTATGTGTGGGGGGCCGGGACCTTTGCTCCTCCATTCGACCCCCACCCTGAACTCTCAGCAGCAACTCCAGGAGCTCCTGTCCCCCTGGGGGTAGGGGAGGCTCTGACCGCTGGGCTTCCATCCGCTGGCACTGAAGGAGTGGAGGGAAGGGAGGGTGTTTGTGAGGTTTTAAGAGGAACAGGCCTTGAAAGGAGCCAAGGCTGGTGAAGGGGAATAGGGGACACCTGTAATGGGCACGGGGGGACTAGGCCTGGCAGGGGGGCCGGTGCTGGGGAGAAGGGGTAGGGCTCAAAAGACAACAAGGGCCAAGGGACCAGGAAGCCTCAGTCTTGCCTTCTGGGGAGGTGTCTCACCTGGTGACTGAGGATAGTGCTGTAGAGCTGTTCTCTGTCCTCAAGAGGCCGGAGTGGGGCTGGGGATATGCTTGGGAGGTTCTGGGGGATGTGGAAGGTGGCTCTCTGCTCCTCTAGGCGGCGGGACTGGGCCTCAGCCACCAAATCCAGAAGGAGCTCAGTCTGTAGGGAAAGCAGGGAGGCGGAGCGGGGCCCCAGGGCTGGGGAGAGGAGGGGTAGGGCTCAGAGACCCAGAGAAATCGGCAGACAGGAGGGTTGGTAGTGCAAGGTGATTAGACACTTGGGGTCAGAGCTGAGGGGGTGTAATGGGGAGTCAGGAGGAGGTGGCGAGAGGGCCCACAACGGAGTGGGCCTTGGTAATGGGATCAGGAAGGACGTGGGCACCAAGGTCAGGGAGCTCCCTGGGCAGATGAGGGTACCTGTGTGGCGGGTTCCTGGAGGAGGAGGGGATGGAGGAGCAGATCGCCAAGGCCGAGCGGTGGTGTTCACAGGGGGCCAGTCAAGCTCATCCTGATGGGGGCCCTGATCCTGGGAGACATCCGGTCCAATTAGGCAGGGGTGTGGTGGGCAGGGGGCTAGGCCAACAGCCCATTTCCTCTCTCGGTGTGTCTCTGTTCCTGCCTCAGTTTGCCCAAGCCCTTCTAAGTCCCCTGAGTCCCCTGTTACTACGTCGCCGCCCCAGGTCTTCTCACCTCCCTTTCTCCCAGTGTCAGCCTCCCCGACCCGGTGCGCAGCTCACCTGGTCACCTTCCTCTTCTTCCTGGGGTCTCTCGGCCTCCATCCCCTGGGGGGGAGAAACTGATGGGGGGAGGGGTAGCTGGGATTTGGTAGGAGGGCTGGAACCCTAGGTTCCTGAGGGGAGTGGGGGCTGGAAGGGGTGGGGGTGAGCCAGGGGCTAGATGCCTGGGTACTGAGCAGGAAGCTGGGTTCCTGGTCAGCCCCCCCACGGGCCCCGCCCATCCCTGTCAACTTCCTCCAGTTCTCTTTTCCCACCCAAACTGCTTGCTCGACCTCTCTTGCCCCAGGGGAGCACAGAGACTGTGAAAAGCTCTTCCAGCTGCAGTAGTGGAGGGGGTTCATGATGGGGAGGGACTCTTGGCGTTCTCGAGTCTCAGTAGACCCCCAGCCCCGGGCTCTGTTCTCTCCATTCCCCTCCTCCCCTTAAGCTCTTTCTGTCAACACAGGAACTAGCTACACAGGAAGTGGTTTTACTCCTCAGAACCCCCCCTCCCACCCCCAGGTCCCTTTCCTAAGAGGACCCCGATGTGGGCTTTGACCCTCCCCTGTGTCCCAGCTTCCCACAGACTTATGGGGACTGGGAGGGGCATGGTTCCAGTGGGAAGCAGAGGACTGAGACCCAGGGATGTTGGGCCCTCAGACATATACATATACCCCTGGCAGCAGCTCCAACACATGGTGAGTATTCAGTAAATATGCGTTGAATAGTTATCCCTGCCCTCCAGGTGCTTACTGTCTATTCAGGGTACAAGGTATGTACCAAATGTGAGACGAGGGTCAGGGGAAACTTTCCTCTGGTCATGAATGAAGGATATAGAAATAGAAAAGGGAGACAACCACCTCCCTGGCTTGGTCTCAATGCTGGTCAGGCTGCCTGGCACCAGGGTGGGAGCAGCACTGAGATATTTTAGTACCTCTAAATGGCAACCTGCCATACTGTGTTTACAGCTGAGTGGCTTGGAGCATGAAATGTGATGAAGAGATCTGGTTCTACCACTTAATGCCTTGAAATCTTGGGCAAATAAAATCTCTGTGCCTCAGTTTCTCAAAGAGTAAAATGGAATTTTGACAGCACCTGCCTTGTAGAGTTGATGTGAGGATTAAATGTGATAAAAGTATTTGGCGTATATTGAATGCTCAATAAATGGTAGTTACTATTAGCTTGAAAGCCAAAATGCCTCATGCCTCCATGTCTCAGGCCCATCACCATTAAGGAGGTATAACCATGTTTCTGAAAGGTGGATAATGTTTGAGATGCTCTCTCCATCTTCCTCAATTTGAGGCTTTAAGAATAACTAAATGCCCTTGGAAGAAGACAAAGGATATGCATGGTCGCGCGCGCGTGCGCGTGTGTGTGTGTGTGTGTGTGTGGGGGGGGGTTTCTCCCTGGGCTATGAGAGATTCCTGCCCTCAGATGATACTTTAAATTAACACAGTACCCCCAAATTTACTTATTCTTGTTCTTGAACTGTACTTAAAGCCTCCATCCAAAGGGATGACTTTGACCTTAGGGCACAAAATTCTGAAAACACTATGCAGTCATTTCCATATTTTTTCCCATTCCACTCAACTCTTCCAAAAAAAGGTTAAGACTTCAAATAAGCTTTATTATGGGTTGACAGATTTTCTTAAATACAGTGGTGACCAGAAGAATGGCGCCTCATCCCTGCGATGGTTTGTTGAGGAGGGAAGTGGGGAGAGTGCAAGGAATCATCAGCCGGAGTGGTCCCTGCCCCCCCCCCCCCACTTCAGCACCTACACCAGTGCCTGGCACATAGTGGGCACTCAATAAATATTTGTCAGCCATTTGTGGGAGGTGGCTGTAATGGGTGACAGAGGCTTCCTTTGGATACCATATACAGGAAAGAACGTCTTACATCCTATATGTCTGCAGTTACTGGTTCCAGTTCAGAGGTACTTCCCCAGTTCCACTCCACCCTTCGGTAGCCTCTCACCCTTATTTTCTGGGAGAAGGGTTGGGCCCTCGTCATTCCAGCACCCTAAACCCTTTTTCCAGGGCTGCAGTTTCTCTACGTGGAAGACGGAGTGGGCAAACACTCATTTGGGGAGGACAGCATACTCATGACCCCTCACTTTTGGGGCTTCAGGATCTTAAAATCTGGAGTCTTTCCAGACTGTCCTATAATGGGTGCCCACTTTCAGAATCCCTCCCTGTCACGTAGCGTCCTATTTTTGACCCTCGCCTCCCGCGTTTAAAGGTATTACTTGGTGGGTCGGGGGACCCCAGGCAACTTGAGGGGATCCCCGCTCCGGGGACGGCGTAAGACAGGGAGGCGGGATCGGAGTGTTGGAGGTGGGGCCGCAGGTTCCCAGGGTCACCCAATTGCAGGGCCAGTCATCAGCCGAGGCCATACCCCCGCTCCCAGAAGCGACCCCGGATCTTCCTTGCACTATCGCTGGGTTGGGCCGAGGCCCGCGCATGCCTGCAGACAACCTACGGGCTCCGGGGGGCGGGCCTCCTCCTGCTCCTCCTTTCGAAAGACTCTGGCAATGAGAGTAGGCTCCGCCCCCACGCGCGGCCCATTCTACGGACAAAGTCTGGGCTTGCAGACATGCTCCGCCCCCACGCGGGCCGGCCCCGGCCGACAGCGTCCGGCAGCGCGACAGAGCCCCGCCCCCACGCGGGGGCAAGCTTCCCGACGCGGTCCGCGAGCGGGGTAAGGGGCCCGCCCCCCGGCCCGGCGTGGTTTTGTGATGCGCCTCCAGTGACCCCGCCCCCTCCAGCAGCGTCAGCAGATCCCAGTGGTTGCGCTGGCGGGCGATGTCCCCGGGCGCTAGCCCAGCCTGGTCCCGCAGTCCTCGGGCTGCTCCCAGGCCCAGCAGCAGTTGCGCTACCTCCACCGCCCCTTCTCGAGCCGCGAGGAACAGCGGCGTCTGCTCCTATGCCGGAAGAAATAGCCAGGGGGCGGGGTCAGGGAGGGCCACGCCCACAGGGTGGCTCTTCCGGGCTCCACCCACTTGGCCACTGGCCCTTCCCCCTTCAGGTTGGGTGGTGTTCCCGCGCTTCTCGCCTCTCCCACGCCCCGTTTTGTTTTGTGTTTGTAGGGAACCAGCTCCTGGTCTAACCCTGCTGTCCTGGGCGTCTTTATCGGCTCCGGCCTGGAGAAGGGAGCGGGCGGCCCGGGCGTTGTTCACGGCGGCGGCCCAGTGCAGCGCGGTTTTTCCTAGAGGACGACGTGGGTGGTTGTTACTCTGAGGTTGGGGAACAGACGCCTGGGTTCCTGTTTCCCACGGATTCTGGTTTTGGGGGAAGGACTTATTTGGGCCCGCGGGGTTACCTCAAAGGCGGAAGCGTTGCCCGGGTGACCGCCAGCCGGCAGGAAGCCTTGCTTCTCGTCACGTCACCGGCGCGCGGGAGGGACAATGGGGCATTGTTCTGGGCTCGGTGGGACCGGGAGACCTCCCCCAGCTAGACCTCTGCCCCTTCTCCCAGACACTCCTTCCTCAGCCTAGTTTCCAGTGGGCTAGGGCGGTGTGTGTATGTTGTTGAATAGGGATAGAGTTCCATACTGACATCGCCCCGCAGATTTACCACCGGGACAGCTAGGTGGGAGGGAATCCCCCAGTCTCCAGTTGGTCCCTCTGCTGCTTCCTTTTTTTTGCATCTTATCTCACACCCCATCTGTGCCACTTCTCCATAGCACAACTCCAATCTCGCCAGATCCGTACCCCATTTATCTCTCGCCCCCACATCTGCTTGGGCTGCGATCAGTTCTTCAACCAGGTCCTCCACCGCCAGCCTGGCGGCCAGCATCAGGGCTGTTGTCCCGTCCTCTGTCCGTGCATCCACTGCAGTCTGTCTGCTGCGGAGTAGGAGCTGGGGGTCCAGAGAGGGCCAGTGACCCTGGTATGTCCTGGACTGCTAGCTCACACTCTTAATCAGCTCCAAATCCGTATATGGTCATCTGTTGTTTCTCTTTCAGATCCCCAATCTCACATCACCTTCCTCTCTGCCAAACCCTAGGGGATGCTTTTCCTCGCTTTACTTAGGAGTTTGCCCCCTGTTCCCCTTAGCGACCCCCGTATGCACTGACCTGGCAAACCTCCCGAGCATCAGCAGCCACAGCGGTGTGAAGAGGGGTGCGCCCTGCTCGGTCTGGCTGGTTGGGGTTGGCTCCAGCCGCAAGGAGGCGGCGGGCAGCGGTTGGCCGGGAGAATCGGGCAGCCAGGTGTAGGGGTGTCTCCCCAGTGCCCACAGTGTGAGCCTGGGGACAGGCCCCTCCACCCAACAGGGGTTCCCAGGGCTCAGGGCTTCCCAACCATGCCCCCTGGAAGGTCCTGGACTCCACTCCCCCACAGCAAACTGCTGACATCAGGGGTGTCACTCCATCTGTGGGTGGGAGACATGAGGAATGGGAGACAAGTCAATCAAAAGGACATAACTGGGAGAGGAGAACATAGAGGTTCAGGGAGAATCATAGCCTGAGGTGTCAGGAAGCCCAGCTCTGGCTCTTGATTTTGTGTGGCTTTTGTCAAATGACTTTTTTACTTTTCTCTGTGCTTCAGTTTCCTCATCTGTAAAAGGAGCCAGTGGGCCTTAATTCTTAGACATTCTAAAGCAGTGGTTCTCAAACTTGAGTCTGGATCAGATTTACCTGGAGGGCTGGTTACAACACACATTCTCCAATGTCTCAAATTTCTGAGTCAGTAGTTCTGGAGTGGAGCCTGAGAATTTGTATTTCTAACAATTTCCCTGGTGATGCTGATTCTTCTGCCCTGGGACCACACTTTAAGAATCACTATTCTAAGGCACTAACTCTAACATTAATTTTCTCAGTTCTAATATCAAAAGGCTTTCTGATTCTAAAAGAGTCAAAGGGAGTTTTCCTTTTCTTGGTCTGGGTTGGCTCACATACCGGGTCCACGGGTGTCCACGTCAGGGACATCCATCTCCGATTCCTGGGGAGGAGTCAGCATGGCTGCCTGGGGGAGCTCCTGACAGTCACCGCTCAGAGGCCAGAGCGGGCACTTGGAGGGTGAGGCCGTTTCTTCAGCCTTAGGATCAGAACAAAGATCAGTGAAGGAAGGATGACTCATCCCTTCAACTCCGCCATTACCTCAGGACCATTCCTGCCCCAGTGCCTTCACCTGGCCCACCTCCTCTCCTTCCTCGGGGCCTGAGCACATCACAACTCCATCCTCATCAACTTCTGCATCTGGCTTCAGTGCCCTGGAAGGGGATGTTTGGGTAGAGGACGTTCAGGGTCCCCAGGATTTCCAGCAGCCTTCCTCCCCCTCTCCCCTTCCTCTGTCATCAACTTTTGATCATAAATATCTCCACAGGAAAGAGTCCCCTTCTTGAGCCCCTTTCCTCCTCACTCTTACTTGAGGCCAATGCTGTCTTCACCCAGGGGAGGCCGGCGTCTGCGGGGAGCCGGCTGAGTTCGAGGCCTTCTAATGAACCCAGGGGGCAGCCAGAGGGC